CGCTCACACCACGGATTACCACCGATTACCACCAGGGGTTGGTAACTGGGTATTTCTTTTAGTGTACTCTCATGAGTTGTATGTTTAAAACATTTTTTTTGCACCTTGCAATTTATGATTTATCAAAAAATCTTTAAATTGAAAATTAAATATTTTCATCTTTCAATGTGCTTCAAGGTTCTTTGCAAAGCTCCATGAATCACTTCTTATTTCATATCATGTTAATCAACATTGGTATTTAAAAATGCTTTTACGGGATAAAAATTTCTACTTTTAATTACACCTTTCTGAGAAGTTCAAAGAACCTTGAAGCACATTGAGAGGCATATAATGAAAATTGTTGCATGAAAAGATTTAATGTTCAAGCTTCATTTCAAGACTTTTTGAATTAAATTATAAATTAAAGAGTTGTCTTTCCTGGCTGAGGGTCGGAGTCCCTTAATAATAGATTGATGAAGTGGTCCGAAAGTAACTACTTTTGTTTTGTGGACTTACGCATTTTTTACTGCAAAGGCATTCGATAAACATCTTTCAAATGGGAATAAACTCTACTTGTGTTTTGTCAAAAATCTCATAATATTAGGGATCATGGGAAAATGTTTAACAGTATATGGTCTCTGTATAAGAATGTTAGAAGTTGTGTGAAATACAAAAAAAATTTTAGTGACATTTTAGAAGTAGAACAGGGAGTCATTCAGGGAGAAGCACTGTCTCCTCTATTTTTTCTTTATATTTGAATGATTTTGAGAATGCTTTTATCGTGTCTAATTGTCCAGATATATTCCCCAAGAAGTGTCATTGTTTTTCATGTTATATACAGATGACATATGGTATTATTTTCCGATTCTCCCGAGGGATTACAAAAATGCTAGATGTGCTTTACTCGTATTATAATAATTGGAAATTATCTGTAAATGTAAGTAAAACTATATTATGGTAGTATTTAGGAAATCTGGTCGATTGAATAAAAATTTTAAATGGATTTATAATGATGAGGAAGTCGAAACTGTCAATCAGTTTACTTATCTTGTTCTCACTCTGACATACACAGGTAATTTTCATAAATCTCAGTCAAAATTGGCTACTCAAGGGAGGAAGTGTATGTTTAATTTTTTTAGGTCTATGAAAAATGTGCATTTTAATAATGTTAAAAGTGAGAAAAAATGCCTCGTCATTGATGATCTATAGTGAACTTGATCACTTACCTCTTTTCATTCAAAGAAAAATTCGTATTATAAAGTTTTGGTCAAAATTATTGGAGTCAGAAAATTGTATATTGAAAAGTATTTACCAAGATACTCCTGAAAGAATTGAGAAGTTCTTGTACAAAATATAATTGGTTACTTCATGTATAAGACTATTTTCATTAGGGTTTGGAGATGCTTGGTATTGTCAAAATATTACAAACAAAAATATATTTTTAAAATTTTTTAAACAGAGATAAACTGACTGTTTTCGACAAGAAGGTGAGGTTTTTTTCTTCTTCATCAAAGTGTTTTGTGTATAGATATTTTACAAATAAGCTGTGCATGCTATCCTATTTAATGAAACCAATTCCATCCAAGTAAATTCAGTTGATCGCAAAATATAGATTAAGGACCCGATTGCAAGGCGTCACGTGATCAAGTCATGTGGTGATTAAAAAAAAGAATGTTTGCTGTAACCATTTCCGGAATAAGGAGCGTGATATGTTTGCGCTCATGACAAAAAAGTTTGTTTTTCTAAAGTAGAGAAAGAATAAGATATTAAAGGTTGTTATGATGCACTGAGAGTGTTGGTGAGCGCTTAGTATATTTTTTATCCACGTGCATGTTTTACGATTAGACACGTCTAACTACAAAATGTATATATTGTGTATCTCTGTACATTGAAATTTATGAATGATTTACTCATATTCATAGGGAGGATAGATTATGTTTTTGTTGCCAAATGGAGGTTGAAGACGAGTATCATTTATACTAAATGTCCACTTTATTATGAGTACGGGAAATTGTATATCAAAAAGTATTATTGGTATAGACTTAGTATGTATAAACATTTACAATTGTTATCAACTGAAAATGTGATTGAACTTACTTATATAGGGAAATTCCTCTAAAACAGAAGCACTAAGAGATTCACATCTGTAAACTGGGGATTTTTTTGAAAATGTTCGTTGGAAATATTGTAAATAGTATCACACCCTGCCGTTAGATGCGTGGGCTTGTCGCAAAGCCACTAGGATGGATTATTGATTAATGAAGATAAAGCCGCTTTACGAAATATTGTAAATAGCAATGTTATGTTACAATTGATAATTGACAAGTTTGAAATAAATATATGACATGAGGCTAAAGATTATGATTTTAAATAAAAATAATAAGTCACACAAAGCACAGTCCATCTGGTCATATCACTCATGGCTAATTAAGATAATTAGATATTTAGAAATAGATAAAACTGACAGATTGAAGGAAATGTGACAACTCAATTAATTAAAAACAGATGTGAGAATTTTGAACTTGAAAATATCCAAAGTAATTGTCAAAATGTCTGATGGTACGTTTTCATCTGTGACAATAGCAATGTTATGTTAAAACAATTATACGAGGGCTGTTCAATAAATAATATCATGAGCTCTATGACGTACAACATAGAAATCATATGACATTAAGCTTGACTTTCTCTCATGACTGAATCTTTAATGAATTGAATACAGTTTATGTGACCACTTTTTCACATAGTTTCATTGTTAGAAGCTGGAAAACAAGGGCTATTCGGCTGGTAATGAATTGGTAAACGAGTGGACGCTTCATTAAAGCTGCTGTAAAACTCAATAAAATATTCACTGAAATACCGGGTATGAGAAATTTATAGCAACCATTGTCTGTTTTATAGACACATGAGCAGGTGCATTTCAATGAACAGAAATTATATAATGGGCATCAAAAAGTGAAATTACAACAGCCAAACGCAAAATTCAACAAATTATTAAATTGACTTTAAGACACAGAGAAAATTGATAGGCATCATTTAGGTGGTAATTCACACTGTTTAAAAGGAACATTTGACGGAAAACAAGCTTAGTACTAAATGGTCAACCTATGTTTTGAAAAAAATGTGTGAAAACGGCGGCGTGTAAGAAAAGATAAACATTTATTTTCAAAAAAATCAAAAAATGTGGTTTTCAACGTTTATCTGAAATTCAAACAGATAATTAAACTTGAATCCATTGCTCTAAACCCTCAAAACAAAGTTACAAGAAGATCCACTTGACAAAAACATGCAGCCAAGGTCTGAGAAGAACAAAGAATCGCAAAAGCACAAAAACAATTTTATATGCCATTTTCTCAAATATAAGTGGTCTTGTTCAAATTCTTATTCGGGGAGGCAGTTCAATTTCTGGAAATTTTTGCAAACAAAAAAATTGAAAGGTTTATGAGAGGATGGATCCTCTCCTACATTAAATTTCTTCTGACAGCGTCCAAACCCGTGAAAAGTTTTAAAAGGAGTTTTGCATCGTCGCAAACCACGGAGAGAATCCTCTCCCATTCTGGCCGTGGTTGAACGAGGAGAGAATTCTTCATAGCTCATTAAAATATTGACCAATGCGAGTAAAACATAGTCGGATAATGAACTTTGATCGCGACCTTTCAATATCCAATCGCAGTTTACGAAATATTTCTTGTATACTGTTGATGTCAATTGTTGCGATGGAAACAAAACTTCCAACTGACTGAATATGGTGTCACAATAGAAAGACGTAAATATTCAAGATTACGACACTTTTTATGATCAAGCAGCCACGGGTAGGAGAGAGCTTTATGCGGACTCCGGACCGTGGCTTGAGACGATGGGAGTTTTGGCGATAAATGGATAGTTAATGTTTTGTCACACCAACAATATTCGTCAGATCTTTCACCCTTTGACTTGTTTCATTTTCCATGCTTGAAATAACACCTTTCAGAAACAAAAAAAAAAAAACAAGCCCAGGAAATCATGGGATCTGCCATATTTCAGTATACGAAGGGCCAGACTCAGAATGTGTTCTAAAGATAACCAGAAATTAGATAAAAATGTTACGGAATTGTTTTAATTAAAAGAGAATATTTAAGTGAAATCATTATGACTAAATAATTGAATGAAACCTTTTTTTTTTTTTTTGGTTTCTTTCCGAGCACCGAGGACATTATTCACTGAACAGCCCTCGTTTGTTAATATTTTATTTATGTACATTCCTTTTGTACTTTACTTCCTGTATTTGTAATTATGTTATCTCATTATCTAATCTGATTAATCATATGGCTTAAGGAATAAAACAAACAAACAAACAAACAAACAAACAAGCGAAACATGGACTTCGCCATTATAATCCTTTGGGAGACGGGGTATTTATTTTGTGAGATCTTTATGTATACAATACTTCTAGTTCGTCTCTATAATAACCGTGTTCATCATCGAATAACAATGATTCCCTCCATAAAGTGCGTTACACTGTTGTGTCTGTGTTAAAAAGATTTTTAATTGCAATAAGAAGAGATCAAATACAACACATTGAGGAAGATCAAATCTACATATTAAGAAAAATGAATAATTTAAATAAATGAAATGTACGAAAAATATCAATATATGATAAAATATTAAAAAGCAATTTAACTATTTTCTCCATATCATTATATTCTTGGTCAATTTTACATTCTGCTTGTCAAGACGTACTTAAAGTCGATGACTTTTGTGTGCAAGGGAGTGTAAAATTTTTGCATTTTGATGAAGGAAAAGGTTTAAAGGTCGTGGCTTCCTGAGGTCTTAATTCAATCCTATGGTCTTAATGCATCAAATAAAAGACATCACTGAGGGTCAATTTGCAAGCTCAAAATTACATTTATGTATATATTTCTGTCTGCAAAAATCTTGTACAATCGATAAAAAGTCAATCTTGTTGTATCCCTTAAGTCGCCTCAAATTCTTGGGCAAAATCTAGAACTCTGCTCTCAATAATAAAAAAAAAATCTGGTTATAAA